ACAAATGACAGCTCGTCAAAAAGACGAAAATCTGGGTTTTCTCACCTCATTGTTACATGCCTAAAAATTTCAGAATGTGTAAGGGAAAAGCTCCTAGATACCTAATTCGGCCGGCAGACGTCGATATTTGGACGCCTATGTAAAGCAGACGCCCGCCGCGACGCCGAAAATCTGACGTAAGTGACCTTATGAGGTACATATGCAAATTTGGGCTTAAATGAACGGTATTTGTGTATAGAGTAAACAAATATTTTTTAAAATTCGGCAGACGGTCAACAACAAGTTGCAGACGCTCTAGAAAATTTAGATTTTGTTGTTAATACAGCATAAAATATGAAATATTTAATAAATAACTACAAATTTATTAACAAAATAAATAATTCTGGCCAAATTATAGGCATGTGCGTTACCTACCTAAAAACTACAAAATAAAACATATTCATAAAAAAAAATAGAACAGTCGCGAAACTTTTTATAAGAGTAGAAGCTAGTAGATACCTATTGTAGATATCTACTTCTTTAGACTTAAAAAGCTACATAACATGTAAAGGAGTTAGAGAGTCGGAAACAGTCAGAAAATATAAACTCAAATATAGATAGATACAAACGAAAAATACGTAAAATAAAACAGGTACAAAAGACGAAAAAGTGAATAGGAACTCTTAGCCAGTGTTACCAGATTGGGGGATTTTCAAGTAGATGGGGGAAAATCTGGGGGATAGTTTTTTGGGGGTAAGAATTGTAAGAATTTTCGCTATTGGGGGAAATCGGGTATATTTCAATGAATAAAACTAAAGTAAAAAATGTATTAAAATAACTGCGCCATCTATTTTTTCAATCAAGTACCAATAAAAAAGATACAGTTTGCTTCTTCTCCAGTGTTGCCAATGGGCGGATTTTAATCCGATTTGCGGATTTTTTTTGGACGATCGGATTTTTTTCGGATTTTGTAATTTAGAGGATTTTTGCGGATTTTTTTAGATAAAACGAATAAGGGCATGAAATCCCTCCAAAGCACAAAAAGCCAACATGGCTGCTATGGCAGTATGCAACAAAAGCGTTTGGTGTGGTTTTGAGATTATTTTTTAAACTATCCGAACTTCTTGGTACAACTGTACTTACCTATCTGTTCTGTCACCAGTCACAACATTTTATTTCATTTGTCATTTGTTAATTGTCATTTTATTTTTGGGATTAGAAAAATATAAACAAATAAAAAAGTGGTAAGGGTATGAGTTTTATTTTAAAATATTCAACGAATTTGTCTTTTTTTTTTTGCAAGTATGAGTCGAGAATAAATCTATATTTATTTGGGGGATTTTAGTTGACAAACAGTGATTTTTGGGGTATGTTTGAAATCCTTTGGGGGAAATTAGTTATAACCATCTGGCAACCCTGCTCTTAGCATTCAAAAATAATAAAAATGCCACATATAGAAAATCCAAAATTTCAGAAATCTAACCAGAAAGTAGTGAAATATGACTTAGAGTCAAGAAACTCTTCGACTGCATCATACTTAAAACAAAATAATATTACCTAATAAAAATATGGCACTAGCTGAAAAGCTTGTAGTGCATGCGTTGAGGACACTTTCAGCAAAATATAGGAAAAAATGACAAAATAATATCTGAAAAATAGTGATATTAAGATTCTTTTTCAATTTTTTTGGGTATCAAATCAATTTCTATTGTTCATCATCAGAAGAATCATGCATTATCTCTCCAATTTCATCGTCCATATCGTCGGTATAAAAATAAGATATTGAGCGTGATAAACGAGCAAATTTATATGAAAGTAGTATGGAATTCTTAATTCATGGTTCTGAACAACAACTTTCATCAGATTTTATGAAGGCAATGCGAAACGACAATTTTTAACAATCCTTGATCAAATTTCTATATACCAGTTCGAAGGACATATACATAGAGAAATTGTTGATACCTTCAAGTGTTTCCATGAAGAAGTCTATCATTTGTCAAAAATTGAAGCAAATAACGCAAATACTAATGTGGTAGATCGTGGATCTAACACTGACATACCAATCTACACAAAATTACCTAATAAAAACGTCAATGTATGAATGAAGGTTGGAGCTGCATCTAAAAATACCTGTAGATTTGTTGACGTAAGTGCAGTCTTCAATAAATTGGGATCTAGTATCTTTTTTGATAAAACTATGTATCTGATTTTGATAGTACGATGTTACCACCATGCAAAACCGTGTTAAGATTCTTAAACGGACTTTAATTTGGTTTGGGGTTACAATGATCGTAAAAAATATCGAATCGAGCATCATTGATATTGCACAAATTGGGTTTTCCGTACATTGCACAGATAAACCTTTCTTTAGATTCAATTTGCTCTTTCGAAATGCCAGCATATATGGTACCTACTTCTTGTAGTTTCTGGTCCTATACCAAAAGGCTTCATCTTGCCTTTTCTGGAAAAGGATGCGGTATAATTACATCCAGTGGAAGCATGAAAAGTTGGTAGAGATTTGTACATGCTGGATCCCAATTTATTAAAGATTGCACTCACGTCAACAAATCTGCAGGTATTTTATTTTCAGATGCATTTCCAACCATACATTGACGTTTTTATTAATTTTGTGTAGATTCCCTAGCAGTGTGAGAACCACGAACTACCGCATTATTATTTGCAGTATTTGTTTTTTTTATGAATATGTTTTATTTTGTAGTTTTTAGGTAACACACATGCCTATAATTTGGCCAGAATTATTTATTTTGTTAATAAATTTGTAGTTATTTATTAAATATTTCTTATTTTATGCTGTATTAACAACAAAATCTAAATTTTCTAGAGCGTCTGCAACTTGTTGTTGACCGTCTGCCGAATTTTAAAAAATATTTGTTTACTCTACACACAAATACCTTTCATTTAAGCCCAAATTTGCATATGTACCTCATAAGGTAACTTAGGTCAGATTTTCGGCGTCGCGGCGGGAGTCTGCTTTACATTAGCGTCCAAATATCGACGTCTGCCGGCCGAATTAGGTATCTAGGAGCTTTTCCCTTACACATTCTGAAATTTTTAGGCATGTACCAATGAGGTGAGAAAACCCAGATTTTCGTCTTTTTGACGAGCTGTCATTTATGAAGTTGACCGCTGGACCCCGGCAGATGGCCGATTTTGAGATATGCACATAAAGTACTTTCATCCAAGAAACTCGAACCTTTTATACCCGATGAGGTGACTTATTTGCTTCTCGGCCGTAGGTCTATTAATGTGTCTTCCTTCTGGGTAACCAAATGCCTTTTTTTTGCATTCTGCGTTTTTTTTTGTGGCTAATTTGCAATAGGTACTCAGTCTTGTGATGAAAAAATATGGGGTAAGCGACGAACAGGGACAATCATCACATTTCACGGAAAAATCTCAAAACAGGGAGGTTATCGCGATATCAATCAAAAAATGTAAGGTCAATTGTGTATTTGTTAAATTAAACAATAATGGGCATTCCTTAGTCAGAGGAATGCTAAATTCTTCCGCAAATTGGGGTCTTGAGTGTCACTAACTTCAAATTTGAATCAACAATTTGGGTAATAAATTATTAGGAGAAAATATCGGATGAGCAAACATGGCAATCGAAAATCTATCAAATTGTACAGGAAAATCTTAAAAAAAAAAAAAATAATTCGTGTATTTCCTAAACTAAACTTTTGGGCAAACAAAGTTCATAATATTTTGGGTCAAATTACATGTTTTTTGAGGCTAAGCGCACACACATGGTTTTGATAATAAAGAATCAAAACGTTTAAAAAACCATAATTAAACTGTGCGCCCTTTGGAGCATATAGTATTATCGTTCGTATTGTCATATGTTATGTTATGATAATGTTTATTAATTTTTTTGTTAAAATTAGTCACTGATGCTTTAACTGATAAAATGTATCTGAAAATGTCTTTTATCTGAACACAACTAACACTGATAATACCAGACGAGTTATTGACAAATCACTCGATTGATAATAATCGATTTTGTTCAACACCAAATGCTGGTTAATACCTATCGTATCTATCAGGCGCTATTTTTGCGTGGGAGCACTGAAATGTTTATCAAGGGCTGGTAAATTCTTATGTAGTTCACCATATTAATATAGGTTCATATTTTGACCAATATTGGATGCTTGACAGCATAGAAATCTTGTGATTGATCAGATTTTGTAAATATCATTTCACTATGCCTTTCACGAAAGTATGGCTGGCCAATAAGAAGACCTTTATGCTCATAGCATAGCATTTTCAATCAAAGACACTTTAGTGCTAAAAGGATAATAATGGTTATTTATATTGCTCCAACCCGGCCAGAAAAACGTATAACTTCAGTTTCTTTACTCATTTGTTCAGTGCAGCAATCAATCAACCTATTTAAAATTTAATTGAACAGCTGTAAAATGTCTCTATCAAAGCCTAATTACCTTAATTTAAATTCTTATCTAAAGGAGATTTCAAAATTAATTTAGGTTTTGGTACTGATCACAGTTAGTAGTCAATAATCTCTAGCTGGCCAAGCTTATTAGTTGTTTAAATAAACAATAATAAATTTTTATTGTGCTGCATTATTTATGTTTACCTACTTCTTATTGGTTAATGTAATAATTGAATATTTAAAATGAGGTCAAACCTAAACTAACTAAAAATTTACTGTAAGCAATATTGTACTATTTTTATTTGGAAAAATGTAATCAGCTAGAGACTCTAAAGAATATACAAGTTTCACAAAATTAGGATGATCATGCGTAGAATATCGCAATTAAAAGATAATTATTTCAAATGTCGCATGTATATCTAATAAGAAGATGAAAATTCGATAAAAAGGCTGCAAAATTTTGAAAAGTTTAAAATATACCATGAATCATATAGGTACCTGATTTTACCCACTTTCTAGATTTAAATTTTTCCAATAACTAGGTATCTTTTTTTTTTTAAATAAAAAGTCAAAATCAAGTATTATTTTATTACCTATAATTTTCTTTTTTCAGATTGGTAGATGACAGATGTGTAGTATGTCCCGACGCAGGCGATTTATTGAACCCACCGAAAAAATTTCGGGATTGTCTGTTCAAAATATGTCCCATGAACAGATATTCCGCTCAAAAACAATTTTGGAAAGCTGCCAAGCAAAGCATGGGTCCGAATACAGATCCCAATCTTATAAAAAGGCTCCATGTAAGCTATTCAAATAATTTGTTTAAGTATATAAATTTATAAAACAAAAATAATGGTTTTTATAGCATGCTGCAGAAATAGAGAAAAAACAAAATGATACAGAAAATAAAAAATTAAATGGGACCAATGTTTTATATGGGAACGTAGTCCAGGTACATTAACGGAATAAAAATTCTTGAATGACGAGTACAAAATTAAAATTATTTCAGTTGCTGCATCTAAAATCTAACAAGTACTTAACAGTAAACAAAAAGTTACCAGCACTTCTAGAAAAAAACGCCATCCGAGTTTACTTGGATGGAAGTGGAAATGAAGGATCTTGGTTTTACATACATCCTTTTTATAAACTCCGAGCTACTGGAGATAATATAGTCTTAGGGGACAAAGTTATATTAAATCCTGTAGGACCTGGTCAACAACTGTTACATGTCGCAGCCAATCATGAGCTAGTGGATAATCCTGGATGTAAAGAGGTCAGTAAATATGCTGCTAGCAATAATAAATATTGGTATTTTTTGAAAATTTGAAATAGGTGAATGTTGTAAATGGAAATACATCATGGAAAGTGACGTTATTCTTGGACTACAAGGAAAACCGTGATAATATTCTCAAAGGCGGGGATGTTGTTAGGTTATTCCATACAGAGCAGGAAAAATTCTTAACAATGGATGAATATAAAAAGCATTCTCATGTGTTTTTAAGAACTACAGGCCGTACAAGTGCTACAGCGGCAACTAGTAGTAAAGGTGAGATTTTTGATAATGATAATTGGCTTCACAAATCACATATTGAAATTGATACCTTTTTCTTACTTCACTTACTTCCCTTCCTCAGTTATTAACTTCTGTAGTTTGATTGATTATTCTTGAAACAATGTAAGTACACAAGTCCTCAGGAGATAAATTAAACTACTACAATATGTATACAGCTAATTTGAGAAGTCTTCAGTATGTTAAGCTTACTATCTCGCCCTGTCAGGCTTTACACGAGTCTGATTTGTTCGTCAGCTCAGAGACTACGATTTGAATTTATTTTTCCTGATATTTGAATTTTTCCAGAAGCCGGTCCTGTTCTTGTTTTTCCTTTGATCTACGATCTGCTTGTGTTTGTTGAAGTACTGTTTTTCTTGTCTCCGGGTTTCTTCTTCTTGGCGTTCTTTCTGTCTTCAAGCTTCTTCTTGTCTCTCTTTCTGTCTTCAGTGTTCCTCCTGTTTCTCTCGATCTCCTTGTTGGAAAAGTGCTGGTCCTATTCTTCTTGTCTTTGGGCTTCCTCTTTTTGTCTCTTGTCTTAAATATTTTCCATGAAGTCCACTAACTAATTATCTTGATAATTATCCCCCCAATTAGCTCACATTAATGCACCAATTATTTCGCTGATAATTTCACTTTTGACACCAAATTTTCGCAAAGTCTGCGGGTCCCCTCTTTTAATAACTATTTTTTGGATTTTTGGTTAAAGGAAAAGTTACACTAAAATCACTCAGTTTTAGGAAACACAGCTTACCTAGTTTAGGAAGGCTTTAAATTCTTCCTCTTTGTTTCCAAGGAAACTGACATTCATGGTTTAGTTTGTTTCAATATAGCCAAAACTTATTTGGGAAATTTTACAGTATGGTTGAAACAGATCTCTCACTAATTTTGTAGCTCCATAACTAAAAAATAATAACAGATAATTTGAACCAACAACTATTTAAATCCTCACTTGAATTTGGCCCTAAAATACTGATGGCCATTTGCACAGCTATCACTTGAAGGATATTTATTCTAAGTGGAGCTTTGAATGTGACTTTTGTTTCTACGAGAGTCACATTCAAAGCTCCACTTGGATTAAATATCCTTTAAGTTATAGCGGTGCAAATGGCCGTGAAACAGTTAGAAAGGAGTTTAGAATCCCCAATGCTGCTAGAATCTATTGAAGTTCTTGAGGCATGAGATATTATAACTTGAAAACTAACCATTAGCAAGTTTTTTGTTGACAACTTAAGCCCTTTTTTGGCTTTATTTTTATTTGTATACAATAAAAGCTGAACGCCAAAAGAACATTATTCATATTAAGTTGTTTCCTGCTAGAAACTATTTTAAATTTCATCTAATACTTACTGTGACTGGTCTTGGTTATTAATGGAAGGTGTATGGTGAAACTTTTTCCAAAAATAGGATAACTGTAGCTATTTCAGTCATCTGGAAATTTAGATCACTGTGTTTTTGAATGCGCAAAATACACCATCCCAATTAATATTCGTATGCAAAATTTAATCTGTCAATCTCACTGCTTAAATACCCTAATGTTTATCTAGTTTGGTTAATAACTTAACATATTAAGAATATTAATAGTAATCCTTTATACTGACAGTCATTAACAAGTGTATATTGTAACTTTATAATTTGTGACTGTCTATATGACTGAATAGCTGCCCAAAAAAAAATAATTCAGTCAGAGTCTTATTTGCCTCCTCACTGATCAAGAATTAGTAGCTACACTGTACCTATAAAACGTTTTCTCTTACGAATCTCACAACATAACAGAAAATAAAAATTTAGTCTGGTCAAAAATTAAATTTTACTTGAAATTTATTATCTCCCAAGTTCTAACTCTCACAGAAATGAAAATTTCAAAGACGATTATTTTTAGCATTGTGGGAAATAGAAGTGGTTCAAAATGACCCATGCCGTGGTGGGGCAGGTCATTGGGACTCTTTGTACCGTTTCAAACATTTAGCCACAGGACAATACTTAGCCGCCTCTCCAGATATTGAGGAAACTGACAAATCAGACCCCAGCGAAAGTTCCAAATACCATTTGGTACCTGTTACCCATCCTTATGAACGAAACGAAATAGCATCCCTGTTTGAATTGGGACCTACCAACCTGCCTCCAGCCGATTCTTTAGTTCCCCAATCTAGCTATGTTAGATTGCACCATATTTTTACTGATACTTGGGTTCATTCTACTTCTATACCTATCGACAAGGAAGAAGAAAAACCGGTTATGTCAAAAGTTGGATGTGCTTTGAGGAAGGAGGATAAAGAAGCTTTTGCTTTAATTCCTGTCTCACCAGTGGAAGTTCGTGATCTGGATTTTGCTAATGATGCATGTAAACTTTTATCATCTTTGTCCGTTAAGTTAGCTAATGGGACGTTATCTCACAGTGAAAGAAGGTATATTTATTTATTCAATTATATTTCAAGAGTTCTGGTTATTAATAAAATATTTTTAAGGTCATTGACAACTCTTTTGCAAGACATTGTGTATTTTGTCGCTGAATTAGAAAACGAACAAAATAAAACGGAAGCTTTGGATCTTATGGTCACCAATCCAAATAGAGACAGACAAAAACTTTTGAGAGAACAGGCTATACTCAAGCAGTTATTTAACATTCTTCAGGTAAGATAATTATCATTATTCTATTAAAAAAGGGAGATATTGAGCCTTGTAATCCCAGAAAAAAAGTGACTCTAATAAGCAATAAGGTTAATACACTATTGGTTCTTATTACCCATTTCATTTATTATATATTTTCCTATCGGAATGTGGGGTAAATAGATAAAAATTATATAGCTGTATTTCGTTCTACAAAATAGGTATACAAATGTAAAAAAGAATCGCCAGCTGAGTGAGGATAGAGTTTGAGTCCGATTTTTTTTTTTAAATTAATTACACGTTTTTGCCTTTTCCATGGTTCTAGTTTGGCTTCCATCTTTAAAAGGTGTGAGAAAGATTTTAGGAAACTTAAATGCAGCCATTAAACCATATAAAATAATTTTATGCAAATCACGAATCCATTAAATTATATATTCAAACCATGCAGAAAACATCAACAACCTAAACTAAAACTGGGGGGTATCTTGGCAGTCACAGATAGAGTTGAGTTTTTAGGCCAAGTGACAGGTAGTTTGTAGCATTTAAAATTGGGGGTAAATATTTTATGATTTTAATCGCTTCATTCATATTATGTCCTGACAGTGTTTTTAAGTTTTCCCCCTCCACCGAGAAGAGCGCTAGCAATGGCGACGCGGAAAAATGTGCAAAAAAAAAAACAGTTTCCAGCCAATAACTTGATTAATTTCAATCATGCGGCAAAACTGTTCTACACAAAAAGAAAGCTTACTAAATTCTCTACAAAAAAGGTCCTCTACACTTTTCTTGTGAGATGCATACTTTCGGAGTAACAGTCGCGTAGAGTTGTTCAAATTTAGAAAAATGTTAGTTTCCAAGGCTGAATCCAAGCAGCGCAACGTGACGAGTGAGGAATAAAGCTCAACGTTCTTCTCGTTGCTGTGCGAATGAATAGGCTTAGCTTAGCTGAGAAACCGGTTTTCATACGTATATCCCATTCAAAATCCGAAGTCCAAAGGTATTGGTAAATTTATCACCTTTCCCTATCAAATAGCCACTGGAAGGTGATACATTTTACCTTTGCCTTTGGAATAGATAGATAATGAATAGATAATATTTGCGCATTTTTTCGTTGAAAATGGATGTCACAAATGTGTGCTTTATTTGTGAGCGCACCTTAAGTGAAGGTGATACTCTTGAAGTGAAGGAAAGAGGTCTGAAAACTCTTAAAGAATCAAGTAATCGCAGTAAAGTCAATAAAAGTATTCAAGTTCAAGGAAGGATTGGATTCAGTGACCGTGCATGTCAAATATCAAAAAGCATATACAAGAGAAAAAAGTGTTGTTGCTGCTGAAAAAGCGCATTCAGGTGAGCGTTGCATTTTAATATCGGAAACGTTATTTTTCTATGACTATTTAATAATATGCGTATTATACATCTATTGATTAATATAAGTGGTTACTCATTATAATGAGTTTTTTTCATTATTCAATTATTTTTGTCTTCACCAATAATTTTCAATCAATGAAATAACTCTCTGAAGGATGCTGCTTCGCAGGAGCTCTTAATGTCAATTTCGTGCAAATGCACGAAATACTGTAAGGCAGCTTGAGGCTGCAGAAAAGCTGCCCTGCCTTGCTCATCAATATGCGGAAGCTGTCGAGGTCAATCTTGTACCAACGTCGAAATTCAGGAAGATACTCTTGACTATGACGAACAATTCGACGTACAGTTTGAAGAATTTGTGGCAGCTGAGAACGACGACTTCACTGATTTTCAAAGCGAACCAGCCACGGAACATGAGATGGAGAATGATCCTCAGCCATGGCAGAACGATGTGTAATCCTTAAAAGACAACGACTGAATTAGCTATTCCCTAATCATATTAATGAATTGCATTTGTTAAAATAGAGGTTAAACTATATTTTTTTTCAAAAACTTCGTGCAAAATGTATTGACTAAAATTGTTTTTAGGTCTAAAAATCATGGCAGTAAAGTAATTGTGTATGTAGCAAAAATCAACGTTATTGATTGGATTTTTACCGTCATCAAAATTTGAACAACACTACGCGACTGTTACTCCGAAAGTATGCATCTCACAAGAAAGGTGTATGGGACCTTTTTTGTAGAGAATTTAGTAAGCTTTCTTTTTGTATTGAACTGTTTTGCCGCCGGATTAAAATTAATCAAGTTATTGGATAAAAACTGGTTTTTTGCACCTTTTCCGCGTCGCCATTGCCATCGCTCTTCTCAGTCTTCTCGGTGGAGAAGGAAAACTTGAAAACAGTTTCACTATACGTTAATAAAGCGTTCAAAACCATACAATCTTTACCTCCATTTTTGAACGTTTTCTGTGTTTTTTTTTTACCTGCCGCTTGGCCTATTTATAGGAATATGAATTATTATAGGTGAGGAGGATTTTTTCCTTTCACATTTTGATACCACATACCCTACGCGTGTGCTTGTATCTAAGGCGAAAGTGTAAAAATAACGATTCAAAATTCAACATTCATAGCTACTGCTGTTCTTGTTGTCGTGATTCGCTCTGCTGTCGTCCTGGCAACATTTAAAAAATTAAATTTTTATACAATATAACTTTATCAACTAATATTTCAGGGCCCCTTCTTGGAACAAAAAGACGAACCACCATTCCTAAAAATAGACGAACTAAATGATCCTCGCCATGCTCCTTACAAATACATATTCCGCCTGTGTTATCGCATTTTAAGGCTTAGCCAACAAGACTACAGAAAGAATCAAGAATACATAGCCAAACACTTTGGATTTATGCAAAAACAAATCGGCTATGACATACTCGCTGAAGATACTATAACAGCTTTGCTTCATAATAATAGAAAACTATTGGAGAAACATATAACGCCTGCGGAGATTGAAACATTCGTCGGCTTAGTGAGGAAAAACATGAACAATTGGGAAAGTAGATTTCTGGACTATTTATCAGATCTTTGCATATCGAATAAAAAAGCAATACCAGTGACACAGGAGTTAATTTGTAAAAGTGTACTAAGCCAAAAAAACTCCGATATTCTTCTAGAAACAAGAATAATGAAAACACAAGTAGAACTTCATGAAGTTGCGGAAGAAGATGAAACTTTATTAGATGATAGCTTGGATAATTTAATTACAGTTGTAGAGGATTGTCAAGTGATTCTCTTGTGGAACAACAGGCAGAAGCAAATGGCTTTAACAGACTTGTGCAGAAATGCAAAAAAGGGCGGTAAAGACGATCAAGCTATCTTAGATTATTACAGACACCAATTGGATTTATTTTCAAACATGTGCCTTAACAGGCAGTATTTAGCTTTGAACAATTTGTCTCCCCATTTGGATATCGAGCTGATTTTGAAATGCATGGCAGATGAAAATGTCAGTTTTGATCTGCGAGCTTCATTTTGTCGACTGATGCTTCATTTACATGTGGATAGAGATCCACAAGAGCCAGTTACACCTGTGAAATATGCCAGATTGTGGTCTGAAATACCATCTTTGATGTCCATAAATGAGTAAGTACTCTTTTTGACAGTTTTTTGTTGCTATATTTGGTTTTGATACTATTTTTAAACTTAACACATTTCCTATAAAGGTCTGATGTTTTACCTACATGCCAAAGTGTAAAGTTCACTGGAATGAACTGTTTATTTCGTATTCAAAATTCGAATGCTAATTAGTAGAAAATCACTTAATGTATAACCTATCCTTGCAAGATCTAATAAAGTTTGATTTTTAATAATTTTAATGAATACATGAATCATTGGCATTTATTTAGAATTCTCATGATGGAATTTTCTAGAAATATGACTGTACGAACTTATGTCGACAGCAGTAATGTCAAAAGCAGTAATGAAGACACTTTTTCAGTTCAACAATGGGTAGTTCACTTATTGTTCTCAATAATTAGCTTCCATGAGCCAAATCAAATCTGCCTGGTGATTGCTTTATTATTAGTTTTCATTGTGTTTGAAAATTATCACAGGTTATGCCTATTGTTGGGCTTGTTTTAAACTTCTTATTGTTATTATAACTTTTTTTTTTTAATCTAAACTACCCATACAGATTTCAACCTGCTGTGTTTGTTATTTCAATACTTAAGATTTTGTTTTATTTGATTTTCTGTTTAGATTATAATCAAAATATGATTGATTGGTTGTATACCTACTTAAATATAAGATCACTACAACTTATGCTAAGAATTATCAAAGGTACTTTAAAATGGCAAGTCCGTAAATAAAATTTATTCATTGATTCATCAGTGTATTGAATGAGTTTTTCCCTAACTAGTTTTGTATTTTAGTTATGATTGCAACAAAATGCCTGATCCCAATAAAGAAGTAGTTCGCGCAAAATTTTCCTCCACTATAGCATTTGTTGGCGGTTACCTTTGCAATGTTGTTGCAAAAATGTGGTCCTTCGCTGATCAGGAGCAGAACAAACTAACATTCGAGGTTTTACTGATAAAGCTTGTGTTGAATAATAACTAGAATGTGTTATTTTAGGTTGTAAAATTAGCCAGAGAGTTAATCTATTTTGGTTTCTATAGTTTTTCTGATTTGCTTAAACTAACCAAAACGCTTTTGAGTATTTTGGATTGTGTTGCCGAATCAGATCTTGTTGATGGAAGAATACCTATTGGTGATATTGATTGTGAGTATTTTTACTTTGTGAAAAAAATTAAATTGTAATTATTTATTATTAGTGATATATTTGTTATTTTGAAATAGTTGGAGAGGAGAATAAAAATCCCAAATGTTCGGAGCAAAAAGGTAATTCTGGTTACTTTTTGTGTTTAACCCAACCATTTGACACACAAAACTTCGTGTACTGCATGTTACATTAAATTGTTTATTTATGTGTTATAACTTTTCTAAATTTTTATGTTATTCACTAATTATCCTTTTGTTACTAGCTGAAGGTGGTGTGCTGAGGAGCATAGGGGACATGGGAGCGGTAATGACATCTCTAACTTTAGGACCAAGTGGTAGACCTTTAGCAACATCAAATGTGGGTTCAAAATCTTCAATGTATCACAAAGAATATCCTTTAGTGATGGACACTAAATTGAAGATTATTGAAATTTTAGAGGTAAGTGAATACATTTTGAAAGGGGTTTTCGTTCATAAAGCGTGGTCCAATCAAGTCACTTCAAAAACCCGATTATTTTGGTTCGAGGAAAAGGCAGAAAGATTTTCAAATTTTTTAAACGTATATCGATTCGTTTGGTTGCTTTGAGAGATCGGTTTGAAGTTAGCACGCCGCTCGAGCACCCCAAAGTGTGAATTTAGAAAGATGGTGTTTCACGTTCAAATTTGGAGGAATGCTTGTTCAAGGGATGCTTTATCATCCCTCAAAAGGAGAATACCTTGCTAGCCGTCAAACTTAGGAAAATCATCGCTTGTATGAAAAAATATTGAAAATTTCATATTTTCTTATTTTTTCTTCAGACACCAAGATGGTGTTTCACGTTAAAATTTGGAAGGATGCTTGTTCCAGGGATGCTTCATCATCCCTCAAAAGGAAAATTCCTTGCCAGCCGTAAAACTTATGAAAATCATCCCTTGTATGAAAAAATATTGAAAATTTCATATTTTCTTATTTTTTCTTCAGACACCAAGATTGTGTTTCACGTTCAAATTTGGAAGGATGCTTGTTCAAGGGATGCTTTATCATTCCTCAAAAGGAAAATTCATTGCCAGCCGTAAAACTTATGAAAATCATCCCTTGTATGAAAAAATATTGAAAATGTCATATTTTCTTATTTTTTCTTCAGACACCAAGATGGTGTTTCACGTTAAAATTTGGAAGGATGCTTGTTCAAGGGATGCTTTATCATTCCTCAAAAGGAAAATTCATTGCCAGCCGTCAAACTTAGGAAAATCATCCCTTGTATGAAAAAATATTTAAAATTTCATATTTTCATCTGATTTTTCTAAGTTCGACAGCTTGCAAGGAATTTTCCTTTTGAGGGTTGATAAAGTATCTCTTGAACAAGCATCCCTCCAAATTTAAACGTGAAACACCATCTAGGTGTCTGAAGAAAAAATAAGAAAATATGAAATTTTCAATATTTTTTTCATAAAGGATGATTTTCTTAAGTTTGACGGCTGGCAAGGAATTTTCCTTCTGAGGGATGATAAAGTATCCCTTGAACAAGCATCCCTCCAAATTTGAACGTGAAACTCCATCTAGGTGTTTGAAGAAAAAATAAGAAAATATGAAATTTTCAATATTTTTTCATACAAGCGATGATTTTCCTAAGTTCGACGGTTGGCAAGGAATTTTTCTTTTGAGGGATGATAAAGCATCCCTTGAACAAGCATCCTTCCAAATTTGAACGTGAAACACCATCTAGGTGTCTAAAAAAAATAAGACAATATGAAATTTTCAATATTTTTTCACACAAGCGATGATTTTTCTAAGTTCGACGGTTGGCAAGGAATTTTTCTTTTGAGGGATGATAAAGCATCCCTTGAACAAGCATCCTTCCAAATTTGAACGTGAAACACCATCTAGGTGTCTAAAAAAAAAATAGGACAATCTGAAATTTTCAATATTTTCTCACACAAGCGATGATTTTTCTAAGTTCGACGGCTGGCAAGGAATTTTCCTTTTGAGGGAGGATGAGGCATCCCTTGAACCAGCATTCCTTCAAATTTGAACGTGAAACACAATCTAGGTGTCTGAAGATAAAATAAGAAAATATGAAATTTTCAATATTTTTTCATAAAAGGGATGATTTTCCTAAGTTTGACGGCTGACAAGGAATTTTCCTTTTGAGGGATGATGAGGCATCCCTTGTACAAGCATCCCTCCAAATATGGTCGAGGAAACACCATCTTACGTGAATGAAAGAAAAAAAAAATTGCGGCGTGCTAGAATGGCGTGCCAACTTCACACTTTGGCATGCCTGCCTGAGCGGCGTGCTAACTTTACTTTTTGGCGTGCTCGAGTGGCGTGCTAACTTTTTACACTTTGGCGTGCTCGAGTGGCGTGCTAACTTCACACCGGTCTTTGAGAGTAGGTAGTTTCCAGTACCTCAGAAATGTTCTTGTTGCAATTCTAAGGCGAGTTAAAATGATCTAGATATATTTTCAAAATAATAGTTGCGCTAGGCGTAGGTACTGCTCGTTTATTTGAAAAGAGTCGTCCCTAATAAAATCGGAATCATATTTATGGCTCCAGATTACTTCAAAAGTTTATGGATACTGGATCTCTTAGTGAAGTGAAACGTCAACCGTAGCATCAAATTATAAATGAAAGCTAGGAAGTTTCTTTTTTGCGATATATGGCAATAAATGAATCAATCATTTTTTTCAAATAATTAAATGCATTACAAAACTACATTTTACATTTGGAATTTTTGTACTTATAGCCTTCAAAGTATTAGAAACTTCAATATGGCTTGAAATGGACATGCTATATTATATCTATTAAAAACTGTTTTTTTTGTTTGTTATTTCAGTTTATATTAGATGTTCGTTTGGATTACCGAATTAGTTGTCTCCTAAGCATTTTTAAGCAAGAATTTGATGAATCTGAGAAACAGAACGGCGGAAATGTTAATTTGGGTCAAAAAAATATTGATCTGGAATTAATAGGCAGTCATGCAGAAGGCATTTTTGGAAGTAGTGAGGAATGCGCCGTTTTAGACTTGGACGGCCATGGTGGGCGAACTTTTCTAAGAGTACTTCTCCATCTGACAATGCATGATTATCCGCCCTTAGTTTCCGGAGCCCTTCATTTGCTTTTTAGACACTTTAGTCAGCGGCAAGAAGTTCTGCAATCTTTTAGACAAGTCCAGTTATTGGTATCTGACAGTGATGTTGAATCCTATAAGCAAATAAAAGCTGATCTGGATGTTCTAAGGCAAAGTGTTGAGAAATCCGAACTCTGGGTTTACAAATCAAAAAGTGATGAACATGGCTCTGGGAAAAAAAATAAGGAAGAAGAGGATGATGCTCCACCAAGTAAACCCCCGATGTTAAGTGTTTTAGAAAAAAAAGGATCAGCTATTAATCTTGATGTTGGTCCGCCGCTACTACAAGAGCAAGCCGAAGAATATAAGAAAATTCAGCTGATTTTGATTCGAATGAATAAGTTATGCACTCAAGAATCTCCTATGGTCAAACCAAGAAAGCATGAACAAAGATTATTGAGAAACGTTGGAGTTCACACAGTGGTCTTAGATCTTTTGCAAGTACCTTATGATGAAAAAGAAGATATTAGAATGAACGAGCTAATGAGGTTGGCACACGAATTTTTGCAGAACTTTTGCTTGGGTAATCAGCAAAATCAGATTTTGCTGTATAAGCAGTTAGATCTTTTCTTAAACCCTGGGGTAAGTTGAACAACATAACACCATATAATGTATTTGTTTTTTGGGTTTGTTGTAGATAAGAGAAGCCCAAACTGTCTGCTCAATATTTCAAGACAATCCTACGTTGTGCAATGAAGAAAACGAAAAGGTCATCCAAGATTTTGTGCGTTTTATCGAGACGCACGGGCGACATGTGCAATATTTAAAGTTCCTCCAAACAATCGTAAAAGCTGACAATCAATTTATAAGGAAGTGTCAGGATATGGTAATGCAAGAGGTACGTAATTTTTAGAACCCTTCTCTGTAAAGTAGACGTTTTACTTAAGGTAAGTGTGCCAAATATTGCCACCTTAACGTTTGGTAGTGATTAAATCCTATACTTTTATTAATGAAGGAATACAAATCTGGGTACGAGTAAAGATATGCGTTGTTTAAATCATATATTTTATTCAGCTCAAAACACTTAATATTAGAATCACAGCTCTTCTTATTATTGCCATTTTCTGTCAATATTAGGAGCATAGGAACAAAAGATAGAAATAACAAAATTTTCTGACAAAAAAAAAAATAAATTCAAGAACATTGAGGACAGATAGAGTTTTCTTTGTCATCCTTAGTTAGGCCTACACAGGCCTCGTGAACATATCGACAGCAAGCTAGGCACAAGCGCATATTTAGTGATGGCAATATAAGGAATAAATGACGTCCAGAAAAAAAATCTCTAACCTAGAAACCCACTTGAAATAATTCATGCAATTCATAAAACAAGAGCCACTGGTGTGTACTTCTCTGTACTTAATAACAAAAATCCAGTTAATGTAAATTAAGATTGCGTAGGGTCAACGTGAAAAGTTTATTTTCTTATAGCGCGGACAGGGAAAACAAATGTGCTCCTGACGTTTGACGTTTAGCTTAGACTAAACCGCCGAATAGAAAACAAATCGCTTACAAATCAAAGTACCTGCTACTGCTACCACCTACATGCAGAATCGATGCTAGCTGAGTAACGAGGGGTGACCATATTAGGAACAATGGCAATATTTAGCGCACCTACCTTATTTTGTTATTTTATTTTTTTCAAAAAATCAACTTTAATTTTTACCTACCAAGAGACAAATTAATTGGGAAACTAGGGAATGATCCCTGATATTCATATTTGAAATACAAACTAATCATCTCAATTATTATCTTCTACAAGTACACAGCCTTCACCTCCCTTCTTAATAAATTTTATTGCGTTCCCAAGCAGTTAGCTGGAAATGGCATTTCCTGGGACCCTGCACCTTGATTCGAGTTGTCCTGTAGTTTTTTTCTGTATGATGTCAAGTATTCAATTTTTTTTTGTCACCGATCAGTTAGCTAAAAATAGCTTGAATGAGAACCGTGTCCCTTATAACTAAGAGATTCTGGGAATTATTCGCGATTTTTTGCATAATTTTTTGTGGGTGCATGCTCACAAACCCACTCATTTTATTAAGAGAAAATTCTGAAAAACATACGTTTTTTGTTTCCAGTTGATTAATGCAGGCGAAGAAGTCCTAGTATTCTATAACGATAAGGCTTCTTTCAACCACTTTGTTGAAATGATGCGATCAGAAAGACATTGCATGGATGAAAGCAGTCCCCTAAAGTACCACGTGGAATTGGTTAAACTTTTAGCTTGCTGCACGATGGGAAAAAATGTTTATACCGAAATAAAATGCCACAGTTTGTTACCTTTAGATGATATCGTAGCAATGGTAACTCATCCAGATTGCATTCCGGAGGTTAAAGAAGCATATGTAGGGTTTTTGCACCACTGCTACATTGATACTGAGGTGGAGATGAAGGAAATTTATACTAGCAACCATATGTGGACCCTTTTTGAGAAATCATTCTTGGTTGATATGGCTGATATTGCTACAGCTCCCAATGACAGGAAACATCCTGATAAAGCTTTAGAGAATTATGTTACAAATTGCGTAATGAATTTAATAACTACTTTCTTCAAAAGTCCATTCTCTGATCAAAGTACCACAGTTCAGGTGAGTCCCTTAGAAACTTGAGTAGTTTGGGTCTAGCTTTTTTGTTCTAGCATGTTTGGGTTTTTTTTTCTTCTGGTTTTTATATCATTTTTTCTAGCTTAAGGTAAAGGAGCATTAGCAAGTTTTTGGTGCATTGATTTGAAAAAACAATGACGCTTTCAAGTTTTTTCTCTAAACATTTGGTAAATAGTAACAAAAAGGCATCACCTAAAAATTTGCCAATGCTAGGGTTATAAAGCTTTCTGGTGTCTTAGAAACATCTGCATGAAGCAAGGGTTTATTGGAGTGATTCTGGTGCGGACGATTTCGATCCATTCTCGAGTAATACTCATCTTAAACTGTCACCATTTTCAGCTAATGTAAGTAACAGTATGTTTTAAGTAGTTGTTTTATTTAGTAATATGTAGTAAAGGTAATACATATATGTTTTTGCTAAAGTTAAGTGCTTTATTGCTGGTGAGGAAGATAAGTGAAATGTGAACATTGAATAATGGTTGGTCAATGTTTGTGATTTTTAACCTAATTTAAGGATTTCTAAATATCATCTGTAGTAACAAAAAAATTAGGACAGAGAAATTAACACTCCAATTACACTAAAATTTATAGTTCTATTAGCTTCAGTCCACTTAGAGGATTCCGTTCACTTCTCTTGCCCTGTTATCGCTATCAATTTCTCCTCTCCAACTTTTTCAAGGTCTACCTCTTTCATCATTCCTTTGATGTCCAATTCAGTACTACGAAAACGGAATACCAAATCCGTTTTCGTCCATTCTTTGGACCTATCCATACTATCTAATTTGGTTAATTCGCATGTCGCTCGTTATATTTTGTGTAAGACCCATAATTTTTGGTACCTATTCTCTCATTTCGGACTTTGTCCACTTTCCAGCAGCCCGCCGCCGAAATTTCAGTATAGATTCTGTTTTTGTTATCTTTTTTCTTCCTGATTTCCGGTCCCTTTTTTCTCTATTCTCCGGATTATCTTAAATAGATGGTAAAGATTTTGATATGTCCAATAAATTTAAAAAGTTTACGTATTTGAAAATTTAAGGTTTAAAATTCAAGCAATGATAATTCTATAATTTATAAATAATTGAAGTTGCTATTTAATAAAAATTAAAACATACTGACACCATTTTTATATATTTTAAAAGTAGTTTCTCTCTGAACTGTTTAATATTTAGTATCTTAATTTGCATGTGCTTCAATTCATGTTGGTAAAAGGGTAACTATTTAGGTATCTTAGAGCTTAAAAAATGCCGTTTTTTTTTAATTAGAATATTTTTGCAGACAAGACAGCCGATTTTTGTACAGTTGTTGCAATCTGCCTTCAGAGTTTCGCAGTGTCTTTGGTTATCTGCATCACAACGCTTTAATGTTGAAAACTGCATACGTACGCTATCAGAAGTTGGTTAGTGTCTATAGTTAAATCAATGATAACTTCGAAAGTTGGTGGAATTTAATGATAATTAATATTTGTAATTTAATTCTGAGTATAAAAAAATTTCCTACTAACTTTCTTAGTTCAAGATTCATAAAATACAAAAATCTTTAAATTTTTTTAGCAAAAAACAGAGGCATTGCTATACCTTTGGATTTGGAGAGTCAGGTGGCGCCTATGTTCAATAAAGCCAGTATTTTAACAAGACAAACAAGCAAATGGCTTACTGCCTCGAAGACGCCTAAAATTGAACGTTCCCAGTCAACGGTAATAGCTTGGACAGTTAATTCAGATGCCCATTTCTACTTTAAATATAGTTTCTTAAAATTTCTATTATTACTCTACTCAGCTTAGGATTTTCTGAGTTAATTTTTTTTAAATATTTTAGTAGATAAATGGTTTTATGTCGTATGACTATACTTCTTACAATCCAGCTCTCTTGAGAGATTTGTAAGGTGGAATTTTTTTTACATAATAGAGAGTTATGGCACCTTCAAATAGCGACGGTCACTGATATAAACGTTCTTATTTTGACATTATTGATACCTACGCATGCATATTTGTGACTAAAAATAGTGGCGGTCAGTAATAAAATAGGGATCATCCTTATTTGTGATTGGATAGTGGAAGGCAATGGGCAAGTTTTTAAAAATCATCAATGTCACATGCGCATTTCCACCGATGTAATGCTGTCCTTGTCATTTGACAGCGGCAAAACAAGGATAGGTTATTCATCAAGAGAAATGCGCATAAGCAAATGATGAATTTGAAAACTTGGCCAGTATTTATTCCTCTATTTTTTGAGACATGCGCAAATCTGAATCAAATGTCAGTTGTCCTAAATTTTTCAGATTCTAACCTCACATAATTTGTTTATATTTTTTGTTTGTGTTTTGGGGGCGGATAAAACAGAAAAACATCATTTGTACCCACTAGAATGGCAGCTTCTAATATTTTTTCTATTACAAGTGAGTAAACAACGAGACACTGACGCGAAAAAATGGTCAAAATAGTGCCAATTTAACATGTTCCATAATTCTTTTTATTCATAGGAAATAGTGACTGTCAGTAATTAAATAAGGCAATAAGGCCGATCAGTAATAAAATCGATCACTATTTGGAAAGTGCCATAATTCTCTATTAACTAAGGGCCAGTTCCTTTATCAATAGGTAAAATTTATATGATTATATTTCTCTGTTAAGGGTGTTTTGCAAAGATGGACGTATCTCGAAGATAGGCGAAAGTGGAGCGTATATTTATGTTTAAACTTGTCATGTTTATTGTACATAGCTGGTCTAACTTTCAGCTACCTTTGTTGAATTTCATTAAAAAAATTGAATCAACTTGAGAAATCTGGATCGAAGCCCTGCTAGAGAAAAGTATCTTGAACAAATGAGTCCACACCACATTCAATTATCTTTAAAGATTCTATTTAATAAGTACCTACATTTTATTTTCATATAAATTTCCTTAAATAAAAACATTATAAAAGTATTGTTAAACTCATTAACTTTATGTTGAGCTCACGTTTTTTAATAATTTAACGAAAGGGAAAAAGAATGTGTCAGAACCAATTAGAAATGAGTTAGCCACATTCGCTCAGGACGGTCAGGAGAACTGATCTGTTAGCTTAATCTACTTTCTTGAAAACAGTTGCATTATAACCATTAATGTCAATAGTCAAATTTCTAGTTCAACAGAGAAATAAAAAAATATTTTCTGGCTAGGAAGCTGGCCCTGGCAATACATTGTCCTAATGGATGACCTAAATTTATTTTGTAGTTAATGAGACTAGATAGAAGTATCATAGAGGGCCTACAAGACATAGTTTCTCTCTTAGAAGATCAATTGAAGCCTTTAGTTCAATCAGAACTGTCTCTTTTAGTAGATGTTCTTTATAGACCAGAACTACTTTTTCCTGAGGGCACTGAGTATAGAAAACGTTGTGAGAGTGGGGGATTTATTAGAAGGTAAGCGTTAAGTTATAACAAACTAATATAAACTTAAGAACAAGATAATTTATAGGTTGATAAAACATACGGAGAAACTACTAGAAGAAAAAGAAGAAAAATTGTGTGTCAAAGTATTACGGACTTTAAGAAAAATGATGACAGTTGACCCAGATTACGGAGAGAAGGTTAAATATAAATGATTGAACTTATTAGGTTTTTTATCACTTTATCACTCTCTTTTTTTAAATGCTGCTTAGAAAGAAATCCAGGCGAAAGCCGATATGGTATAGTATTCATTTCAGGCCTTATTTTGTGTGCACCTTTTGTGTGTTTTTTTTTTTTTGTTGCTTTTGCTACATTTTTAAAAGTTTTTATTTTTAAATAATCAGTTTGTTAATACATACCTCTTAATATACATTTATATTCTGTAGAAAAGTCTAGTAACTAAGAGTTTTCCAATTTTACAGGGGGATGTTTTACGTAATAGCTTGTTGGCACGATACTTTGGGAAGAACTTCTCTCAAGCTCATGATAACACATCTGTGTCAAGTTATCAGGTACCTGTAACTCATGGACCAGGAGGTTATTTTTTTGCTATTTTCACAACGTGAACTCAATTTCTTATATTTTAGCTAAAATAATCAGCAGAGCAAATCAAACATTACATGAAGTTCAGACTCATTTAGACAAGGAGGGAGCGTCTGACTTGGTTGTGGAACTAGTCATAAAATCAGTAAATTCACCTTCAATTTTTGGAGAAGCTGTTGAACTTGGCATAGCTTTATTGGAGGGGGGCAATTCTACTATTCAGAAGAGTATGTTCAATAAATTGTTAGGAGGTGATCTAAGCCAAGCATTTTTCAAGGTAAGTTAAGTGCACATGTGGTTGCACACATATACGCAAAAACACACAAAAAATGCGATTTTGGAACAGTTTTTTTTTTTTTTTTTTTTTTACGGATATGCGCACTCGCAAGGAAATGTCCTATCACGCTCGAGAAGCGGCAAGTGCGCGGAAATGTCGGTGTATGTTGGTCTTGAAACGGTTCAGGTTGTAACCTGTAGGGAAAACCGTCGCAGGGAGTTTATTCCACAGCGATGCTGTTCTCCAGAGATATGAATTCTGATATAATGAGGTTCTTGGTGCCTCTAGTTTGACAGTAAATTCATGGTTACCGTCTGTTTGACGGGTTCGCCTGGTAGGTGCTACTCTCGGTGGAATCATACGTGCCAACTCTTCAGAGCATTTTCCGTGATAGTACCTGTAGAAGAGAGATAAATCGCCCACAGATCTGCGATGTTCGAGACCATCCAAGTTACGAGTAAGTGCGGGGTCATTGATCAGCTTGATAGCTCGTTTTTGCACGGTATTCAAAAGCATTAAGGTATGTTTGGGTGCTGCACTCCATATATGTGAGCAGTACTCCATAGTTGGTCGAATCTGGGCTTTGTAGAGTGTCAGCAATTGGCTTGGTGTGTACAGATGTCTTGTACGAAATAGCACCCCCAGCTTTTGGGAGGCCCTTTTAGCAATATCTGCCACGTGACTGTGCCAAGACATGTTGGTCTCTGCAGTAACCCCCAAGATGTTCAACTGACTCTGTAATGTGACAGCACTTCCAGATAGCATGATGTTTGGCTCACCGGTGCTGGTCTTTTTTGAAAACAGAGCTGCTTGGGTTTTCTGCGCGTTGAACTGTACAAGGTTTTTGTTACCCCAGTCCTCTATTATCTCCAGGTCGTTATTTATCTGCGATATTTGAGTTAGTCTAAGATGGTGGAATTCACGTGCGGAAAGACCTGTGGGTGGTATGAGTGAAGAGACTACATTGCCATCGTCTGCAAAGCAATAAAGTGGATTTACTGTTTTATCTATGAGGTCATTTATGTAAATCAGAAAAAGAGTTGGCGAAAGGATTGCTCCCTGTGGCACACCAGCATTTATTTGGTAAGAGTTGGAGTTCTGGCCATCCAGTGCAACATAAATGGATCTGTCCTTTAGGTAACTTTCAAACCAAGTGCAAAGTTTCGGCGATAATCCCATTGCTTTGAGCTTGTTGAGCAGATTTTCATGCCAAACTTTGTCGAATGCTTTAGATATATCTAGGGCAATTGTTCTTGTTTCACCCCGCAACTCAATCGCTTTTTGCCATAAGTGAGTGACGTATGTAAGTAAATCGCCAGTTGACCTATATTTTCGAAACCCGTATTGCTTATCGTTGATAATTTTGTACTTTTCCAAGTACTTGGTTAGGTGATTGTTCACAACTCTTTCCATTACTTTTGATATCACCGGAAGTAGAGCAATTGGTCTATAGTTTAACGGATCTGTCTTTTTTCCTTTCTTTGGAATGGGTTGTACTGCGGCAGACTTCCATGATGATGGATATACTCCTCGCCTGTAAGACAACAGTTGGAACACTATTGTATTAAACCGTAGATAATTGTTAGGTTTCTCATTGTTTTCTATAGATATCCTGCTTTAAGTCTAGCTGCAATTTTTTTTTATCTAATATACAAAGTGTTTGGCGGGGGGGTTAGCCAAACTTGGTGGGCGTAAAGATAGGCCCATTTCGAATGATACACTTGTGGCCTTAAGTTCCCCTTTTTTTATCATTGCTTTCGTATTGTTCTCAAGAATTTTCAAAAATGGACCTTTTAACTTCTGTAGGTAACCTTTTTTACAATGTTTATGAATTTTTTTTTTTTCGTGTGTTTTTGATTTGTAAGGTATCCTTGATCTTGAAAGGTACATTTTTGAAAATACTTGAGAATAATACAAAAGCAATGATATAAAAAAAAAAACGGGGACCTTAAGGGCACTAGTGTATTAATAAAATATCTTCGAAATGGGCCTATCTATACACCCACCAAGTTTGGCTAACCCAATGACATCAAAACACAGATAGACCGAACAATAAACAAAATTTTCGTATGACAACATCTCTCTGTCTCTTTTGGGTCTTTGTGCTATCCCCACCACTGAGAATGCCAAATTTTGTCTTGAATCCCTAAATAATATATTTTTCTCCTCTAATTAATATTTTCAATTTTATTTCTGAACTCAATTTGGCAACAGCAGATTATAGCAAAACACCGCCCAGAAGCGGCTTGTTGAATGGCAGGCAGGTGTTGATTGTAGTAGCTAGCTATCTTTATTGCAAACAGGGATCATTCATTAGCGTTAAACAAGAAACGACTAACACGATATTGGTACTCCCAGAATAAAGGGCTCGTATCGAATATTTTCAGTTTATTTGTCAATTTGTTATTTTATTTATTCATCCAATTAAATTTCGAGATATATTCACGTGTGGGCGGGGTTTTTTACACCATTTTGAGCAATGATGTCTCCCTACCCCGACCCCGCGAGCAACTCACCTCCCCTGGCCCATGGGTGGTCTTGTCAACACAACAAATAATAGTTCATGAATGGGATGATCCGTCTATCTGTGTTTTGATGTCATTGGGCTAACCCTCCGCCAAACACCTTGTATATATTTGTGGTGTCAAAGTATTTGTAACAATACTCCTCTGAAACGGCTTGACCGATTTTTATGAAATTTTATATGTATATTCGGTAGGTCTGAGAACCGGTCGTAATCTGTTTTTTCTACCCCTAAGTGATAAGGGTGGTCCACCCCAAAATTTTTATTTTTATTTTTTGGACAACATTGTTTATTTTTATGTTTTCATGATGTTGCATTGAGCACATACAACTCTAAATTTTCACTCTTCTACCACCAACCCTTATTTTTCAATAGCGATATTAGCTGACCCGGGTACTGTTCTTTTCAATATAATCGAGTTAATCAACTATGTACTAATAAAGCTGAAAATGTTTCAGTCGATCTGAAACCCTACCGGATTGAGAATAGAACGTTGGGCGAAAATTTAAATGTGATTGGCAAAAGAGTTTTGAAGAGTTGAAATTAAACACAAACCACCATATAATGGGCTCTTTCACTAATTTTTGAAATTGGCATATTTGGATAAAGCAACTAAAAACAGAATTTTCTGTATTTTTACTTTTGAAAAATTCACAGTCCTTCTTGAGAAAACAGAAAACAAATAAATACCTCCAAATAAAAACCCAGAATTTATTTCTATGACGTCGCAGCTCGCAATTTGACCGTGTTGCCACTAATTGTCAACATTGAAAATTTGTAATAGATTTAATTCTGAAATGTTGGCAAAATCTCATGAAAAGTAGTTAAATTAATTAGTTATAGATTCAAGATTTTATAACATTTTTTTTTTTAAATTATGCTTAAATACAATTTAATGCAATTTTTTATGTTTAGTTTTATTTATTTATTTTACGCTGCACTACATTTAGTCACAACCGACAACAGCGCATTCGAACCTTTACGTATCTTTACAGAGCGCAAACACAGCCGAGCCCTTCCTCCTTGCAACGACATAAGCGAAATGAAGAATATTTATGTGACGTCGGCAAATCGGCGCGTTTTAAAATAGTTTGAATTTAGGCACTTTTGATTGCCTATGAAAAACTTATTGAACCTTGTAGAACATTTTTTTTTTGGTATATATGCCTAAAATAGTCCCTCCTTTGAGATTTTATACTTAAATTACGTATTTAAATTTTAGTGAAAGAGCCCAAATTTTAACTCTCCAAAACTCCTTACCAATCACATTTGAATTATGGCTGAACATTCTATTCTCAATCCCGTAGGGTTTCAGATCGATTGAATACTTGAACTAAATGTATCGGATACTTTGGAACCTATGTGGTGGGATTGGGGATGACGCATAACTAGCAGGGAATCCCACAGACAACAGTCACAAAGTCTATGTAAATGTAGCATAGCACACGGATTTCGTACGAATTACGAATCTGCACGCTGCATGATTACAGATTTCTGTAAATTTTGAAGGATTTTATAATTTTACCGCTACTCGCTAGGCCTTATTCTTGCGGATTCACTCTGAGAATAGTGGAGCGTGAGAAACAAAAGTATCCAGAGTATCCAAGCATTTGAAAATAAAGTATCGGATACTTCAAATTTAGCAAAAATCACTGACTGAGCCTCAGCAACGCGTGGCCGGGTCAGCTACTAAATGTATAAAAGTTGGGGTGCGATGTTTTTACAATTTTGTTTAATCTGTTGTTGCCTTCTACCGCGTTATTAGTTCTATAATTTTTGCCATAGGAATACCAAATTTTTGGCCTATTATTGGATGTTCAAGCCACTGTGTGACAATATAATCGTAACAGGCCACAATCCTCTCATTATTGGCGGTTTGTTATTTTCTAGGTCCGTCATCTACACCGTCAAAAAGTTGATAAGCAAGAGCTGAACAAATTCATAAGTGAAGGCGAATTTCTTCATTCTCTCTGTACTCGCTGACAAGCCCCAAATGTTGTATTTTACGTCATAAGCACTGATTCCAGTGAAAATTCTAACCTTGCATATTTGCTTATGGAAATAAACTTTCTAACGCCGCTATAGTAGCCTCTTCAAAATCCATTGTGATTGTCTCACGATTCCACTGTGGTACAAATTCTTTTATCGCAGTAAACAATTCAAAATATTTGCTTCGACGCTTATTTGGCAACAAAGCGTGAAATACCGGAACTATATTTATTTCTTCGTCTGTACTTCCTAGATCAGCATGTATAGTGTATATTTGGGTAAACTGTTTTGGGCAACTTTTGAATGTTCCGTTTTCCGTCCATAAAGAAACTGGTGTAATTGGCTAGAGCTTTTTTTTTCCTTCTTGGTAACAATACCAAATATTCTTGATTCACCAATTTGTTTTTCAAATGGGAAAATATTATCTCCATCGTTCATCAACAGCAGTTCATTAGATATTTCAATTTCAAGCGCGCTTGATGGTTCTTTTTGTATGCCTTGGGAAATTCTTCAACACGATAAAGGCTTACTTTTAACAGAAGAAAGCAGCGGTTATTCCGTTACAAAATCCAAACTCTGAAATAGGCAAGTCATCCTTCGCGACCTCTCTTGCGAGCACTTGAAAGTTTCTGTTCCACTTCCATGATGGCTTCATCAGGTTTGCAGATATCTTCAACTTCTTCGAGAACAGATCCATATTTAGATTTCATACGGCCTTTACACTTCTCTGAGTTTTCTTTGACGTACACCCAGGTAACAACATTTTCTTTATTTTCGCGATATCTTCGATATTGATAAAGACTTTGTTGATAATTCAATCTAGTTTGGATTTTCCCAATTTTAAGATTAGGTATTTGATGTGCAGGTAATTGTGGATGCCTTGACCGTATCTGGAACTTTCTTAACAATAATATTTGAAAATGTATAGGGCTGACCGCAAATGGCACTGCTAAATAAATTCGACTGCAAATGGCACGACTCCAAATGAGACTACACCCTGAAATTGACCAGATATTGCATAGTTTTCTTGCAACTTGGACAAAGTTTACGATATTTAATTTATAGCTCTAAAACCATTTTTACTCTCCAATCAGACAATGGGTATTAATTCAGTCTTGCTAATTTCTTTTCAGGTCTTTCATGATAAGATGCGGGATTCCCAGTCTGAAATCAAGTCAACTGTAAGCGTAAACACGTCAGACATGGCAGCAAAGGCGCACGACGATAAACAAGATGGCAAAGATCTTGATAAAATGTCAAAAAGGCAAGGCAAAATAAACGGTATTCTTATCAGTGATGAATTACGAGAGGAACTGAATCGTGCAGCTGAATCTACGTCTCAAGCTTACGCGCACATCCGAAATATGGCTGCCGGAGACGAAAATTTAATTTCTTCAAGTGCTGCAAGCGCTTTTGAAGACTTATTAGCCGAAAAATTAGAAAAACATCGAGAGAGAGATGAGCAAAATGGGTTATCTAATAAAGTTTTAATTATGCAACCTATATTGAGATTTTTACAACTCTTGTGTGAAAATCACAATCCAAAACTACAAAATTTATTGAGGAATCAAAACAATAAAACCAACTTCAATTTAGTGTCTGAAACATTAATGTTCCTAGATTGTATTTGTGGATCGACCACTGGTGGTTTGGGGTTATTAGGTTTGTACATAAATGAGAATAATGTCTCTTTGATTAATCAAACTTTGGAAACTCTCACTGAATATTGCCAAGGTCCATGCCATGAAAATCAAAACTGTATAGCAACCCATGAATCAAGTGGCCTTGATATAATAACAGCATTAATTTTAAATGATATCAATCCCTTAGGAAAATCCAGAATGGATTTGGTATTAGAATTAAAAAATAATGCTTCTAAACTTTTACTGGCAATCATGGAAAGTAGGGGTGATAGTGAAAATGCAGAAAGAATATTATCCAATATGAATCCTAAACAATTGGTCGAGGTTGCTTGTAAGGCTTTCCACCAAGAAACAAATGATGAAGACGATGATCTAGATGATTCTGGTGTAGATGATATTGTATCACCTAAGGAAGTAGGTCATAATATCTACATTCTGTGTCACCAGTTAGCCCAACATCATAAAGAACTGGCAAACTGGTTAATACCCTCCGATTCTCTGGACCCAAAGGTACAGAAAGCCTTAGAATATTATAATACCCACACAGCACAAATTGAAATAGTTAGACACGATCGCACATTAGAACAAATAGTGTTTCCTATACCGGAGATTTGCGAGTATTTAACTAAAGATACAAAAATTAGAGTCCTTAATACTGCAGAAAGGGACGACCAAGGATCTAAAGTAGCTGACTTTTTTGAGAGGACTGATGATATGTTTAGTGAAATGAATTGGCAGAAGAAATTAAGAGGTAAGATTTAATTTAGTTGTTCAGCCCAGAACAGCTCCAGGTTTAGTCAATTTTTATGAAACTTACAAATCCCAAAAAATTTATAAACCCGGGGATAACGGTAAAATAATTAAATGATTGGTAACCGTATTGTACATTATGAGGTTTCACCCATTATAGGCATAAAATCATAGTATATTTTCCTGGCATTATTTACTAAAATTGTCACCTGAAATTTTCATTGTCGGCTAACTAGGGCTTATAAAACTCGGGATTGAGCACTAATTTTTTGAACATTATATGTATGGGTTTAAGCACATAGAATGTTCACAAAAAAACTCGCTGATTGATTAGACGCAGATGGATTTTATTAACTTTTATTTTTACAACAAAACGAAAATCAGAACAATCAGAACAGAGGTGGGATTCTCAATCGTTAAGTCGATACGTAACGTCCCGACTCCTTGTAGAAAAGCAATGGGAAGTCGGGGTCGATAGGTTGCGACTAGAGGTTGAGAATCGGGGGGCAGAACAACATGTGTCATTTTGCGATCAGCTGTTGCAGCGACAAGTTGGAGTGACAGGCCTATCTGTCAGGTGTCAGTCTGTGGGTGTGCGTTCAGAAAAATGGTCGCGGAGTCAGAACCTGTTTTCGCCTGTTCTTAGCCGCTGCTAGTGGGTCACTCAATGACGTCATTGGGTTGCTCATTTGTCACGCCACATATGTATCTTAGGTTACCGCTACATCAGCACATGATATTGAAGAAAACTGAAAAATAGCAGGCGAGTTATGTAAAAAAGTTAGCAACAAGGTTTTGGGTTAGCTCAAAAATTGAATGTCTCAGAGTTTGGCAAGTTGCCTTTGATTCAATCTTCAGAGACTATTACCATTTTTTTGAGAACTGATTAATTGTGAAACAATTTTGAGCCTTCAAGGAATTGTATCAACATGGATAAATCAGATGCACTCAGCTAATTCCTAAAAATTTGGCATTGTACAACTTAAGAGCTGACTACGTCTATTGTCAAAAATTGTTGCTCTGCGGCTAACTAAAACTGACCTATTCTTTTATCCATTATTCTGTTTGCTACAGTGTCCTGAATAACTCAGCATGTAAGTGTTTTCCAATTTTATTTTATTTTTTGACTATGTGGCCTTGAGTTAATGACTCATTTAGCCACAACTTACATCTTACATCCAATATAATGGAACATGACATGATACTCTAATCTCTAACCTATCACTTATTATTAATCTTCCCTAACCACAAACTTCACTACCAAAACAACGTCAGTTATTAAACACGGTCACGCGCTTCTCGTCATAGGGTCAATGCAGGACATTGTTCAATTCACAAGGAATATACAGGTGCACCCGGTTAGGAAGGATAAAAACATATAGGGAAAAAAACATAAGAGTACGACTCTTCTAGAGATTAGATTCTAAATCAGCACCTTACACAATTTCAAAAACTGTATGAAAATTGGTTTCAAATTATTATCGACATTTGTGAAATTAACATCATTTTCCCGATCTTAGAGTCACAACTTTATTGTTATGTATATCTGGGGGCTTTTTATACTGAACCACTCACAGAAAATATCCTTCAATAAGACATTTAAATCCAAATTTTCGCGGAATGCATAAAAACAATTCAAGGTCGATAATAGCACAGGCCCGAACACTATCGTATATAAATTGGAACTGTTCACTAAAAATATTCTTTTTAAATTTTCAGCTCAACCAGTTCTATTTTGGGTGAGCAGTTACATGTCCTTATGGAGTAATATCCTATTCAATTGTGCCGTTTTAATTAACCTTATAGTTGCTTGCTTTTACCCTTTTCAAGATCTTGTGCCACGTAAGTGTATTTATAGGATTTTTTCATAAAAAATCAAACTAATAATTTTTAATTTCAGAAATAAGTTCCACAATCTCAGTACTGATATGGTTTGCAATGTTAGTCTCATCAGCCATAGTGATAACACTACCTAGGGAAACAGGAATAAGAACATTGGTTGCATCTACGATACTAAGGCTTATATATTCACTAGGTCCTGAACCTACCTTATGGTTACTTGGTTCAGTCACAATTATTTTGAAAGGCGTTCATCTAGTCAGTATTATGGGAAACCATGGTACTTTAACAAAAACCTATTATCAAATTCTAACAGATGCCGAACTAGTCTATCATTTGACTTATTTAGTCTTTTGTATGTTGGGACTTGCTATGCATCCATTTTTTTATTCCGTCTTGGTTGGTAACGTTGACATAGTGAAGATCGACATTATTATAATTTTGCTTAAATTTTAGTTGTTCGATGTTGTCTATAGGGAAGAAACACTGTTGAATGTCATTCGATCGGTAACTCGAAATGGACGATCCATAATTTTAACAGCTGTTTTAGCCTTGATTTTGGTTTACATGTTTTCTATTATTGGTTATATGTTCTTTAGAGATGATTTTATTGTTAGTGTTAAAAAGAAAGATGGTAAGATATTTTTCAAATATATTTTTATTTCAATTCAATAGAAATAATAATTCTTAAGATGAAACATGTGAAGAAATTTCTCATCTAACTGGCAAGCAATTTAAAGAAGACGAAACCCATGAATATTGCCAGTTAATAGATCCAGGAGAGGAGAAAAAAGAGAGAGCCTGTGATTCTTTGAGAATGTGCATTATTACCACTTTAAATCAAGGTTTGCGTAACGGAGGAGGAATTGGTGATATTTTAAGAGCGCCCAGTAATGAAGTAATGACAAGTTTGATTTAATAGCCACGTTATTTAATTGATTGTTTATTTTATTTTAGGAATCTCTATTTGTGCCAAGAGTGGTATACGATTTGCTGTTTTTCTTCGTTGTGATAATTATAGTACTTAACCTTATTTTTGGTGTCATCATTGATACTTTTGCTGATCTGAGATCAGAGAAACAACAAAAGGAGCTGATTTTGAAGAATACCTGTTTTATTTGTGGTAAGTGATAATTTGAAGGACATAAATTTCATCTAGCATTCGAAAGTGACAACAAAATTCAAACATTTTTCTATATGTGAAAGAACAATGATCATTTATATCATTCGGGCTTCGATTGTATTGCGATTATTCTATTCAGCATAGCTGGAAACTGGACTGTCTGGTTGAATCATATGTATCATATCTTTACCAAAATCATTACGTACTGATGGAATATCTGTCTCATACATTTGAGACAATAAATTATAAATCTGAAAACCGCATGTTCGTATCTGTTTTCATTTGAAAGTTCTAAATTTACCCCTTTTACACCACTCACCCACCCCCTACTTCTGATTTTTTTTCATGAAATTGTATTGTCACCAGATCAAATCATACATCTGAAAACCGCATGTTCGTATCTGCTTTTTGTTTCCAAAGTTCTGAATTTCCCCTTTCACACCCTTCACCCACCCACTACTTCCGTTTTTTTTTAAAAATAAAATTGTATTGTCACCAGATCAAATCATAAATCTGAAAACCACATGTTCGTATCTGCTGTGTTCCAAAGCTGAATTTCCCCTCATCTTGGATTAGGGTGATCGGTACCTGTATATATAATATATTCCATCACGTTCTTCTTTGTTTTGATTCTCTAATATTGGCGATACTTCCTTTCCTAATCTTTACCCAGAAATTTTATCCGCAGGATGATTTTTACCGCTTGGCGGGGGTGTGCAGGCCATAGAATTTTGGGGTTCAAAAACATGATTGTCATCTGTAAAACCATATTCATCGACTTCCTCACTTTGTAATTCATCGCTATTGAAGCTATCGGGTTCCCCTGGTAATTTCTTAAAATTATCTTTATTTATATAGCAATGTTTATTCGACTGAGTTTTTATCCGTCTAGACGATTGGTTTTTATCACTGCCATGAATAATTTCATTTATTTCTTCCACTGAAAACCTATTAGAATCGAGCAAAAATGATCTCTGTTTTTGCGAAAACCGTTCATTGAACTTCGGTACTTTTCCTCCTTTGTAATCAATAAGACCGTTCTCTGCCATACTATAAATAATTAATTATTTGTTATTATTTACGCGACAAATATCACTTTTCCAGCACATAAACCAAAAAACGTGTTTACTAAAGAAGAAACCAAATAAAATGATTAAAAATCCTAACTCTGTACCCCAAATTGCTTCCTTTTCGGTGGTTCTCTTGTTTCTTGGTGTGTTTGACAAGTTTGTTTTCTTCAGTTTTTTTGTATCGGTGCACTGCGCAGTGCGGTGCTGTGTCTATAATTTTTGAAATAGTGTCACTAATACTTTGTGATGTGTAGATATCTTATGAAACATTTTTTTTTGGGATTGGATTTTTGATTTTTTTCATGATCGTGAATTTAATTTCTGGCATAAACTGAAATTGTATGTGGTGTAGGTGTCGGCAATAAAAGCGGCAGTCAGACTAGGCTGCCTTACCAGCGTGCTGGTGGCTGGTGGCTGGTTGAAGAATTAAATGTACATAAGAGATTTGAAGCTGTCCACAGTTGCATGATACTGATGAGTAGTCTCAATTTTGGTTCTGCACGGAATAGCTGGTCTCAAATGAGTATCTCTTTTTCTTATAATTGGTGTAACTAATCCTAACAATTCTTCGAATTTTGGAACTGACAATCTTAACATGTTCTTATAGAAGTTTTGATGAAAACCCTAATTTAGTTCTACAACTTATCCAGTCTCTAACTCGAATGTGTTTTTGCTTTTTTTTTCTTGAACAAAACCTGTTGGCAAAGCTCGTTGGCTCCCATGCTTAATAATTTTATCAAAACATCTCTTCGTGGAGCCACAGAAAATTGACACAACACTGATTTTTCTCGTTAGCAGCAGTAATAATACTAATTACAACTTACAACAGTTCAAAACTTTAAAATTTTGACACTACATATTTTCTTATTAGTCTTTTGCAAATATTACCATTATTGCAGTCTTTTATATCACTACTGGTTAAACTCATAAAGACCTCGATTTAAAATCTCATTTTGCAATTTGCTAGATTTCCATTTATGATCAAATATACAAAACTTTTTACCAAAATTACAAAATTTGGATTTAGATGAATTTATTCTTAAGTTATCATCAATTATCACAAAGCCATTCGAACAGTTTACCCAAATCATCATTTATAGCAAGCTGTTTTGCATTTAGAGTTTCACCGGTAACATAAATCCTGGTGTCATTAGCAAAAAGCTTTACATTACTTTCCCCTGTAAAACAAAAACAATAGGGGCCCTAAGACAGTCCCTTGTGGCACTCCATACTCAGTACACATGAAATAAGACAAACTGTTTTTATGTTGAGATCTGTTACATAAATAGGATTTGAACCTTTTTAAAAGTGCACATTCTCTTTTTTACAGGATTGAACAGATCAGCGTTTGATAACAAAACAGTAAGCTTTGAAGAACATGTCAAAAACGAACACAATATGTGGCACTATCTGTACTTTATTGTCTTAATAAAAGTGAAAGACCCAACGGAGTTCACTGGTCCAGAGAGTTACGTTTATACTTTAGTCAAATCTTTGAATCTCGATTGGTTTCCTAGACTGCGTGCCATGTCTCTTGCTGCGGTAGAAGGCGACGGAGAACAAATAGAACTTAGAAGTCTCCAAAACGTCTTGGAGAGCACTCAATCGCTCGTCAAAAACTTGTCAAGTCAACTGATGGAGCTTAAAGAACAAATGGCTGAACAAAGAAAGCAGAAACATCGTCTGGGATTATTGAGTTCAGCATCTGCTTATTTGCAAACCAACAACTTCTCTTAGGAGGATATAATTTGGCTTGAATATATATTTTAGAATCTTTATTTTTTTGAGCTGTTACTGGATTTGCGGTTAAACTTAAGACATATCGTGTCAGTAATAGTGATATTAGAGTACAATCGTCATTTGGAATAGCCATTTATAGTAGAATGCAAAATGGCATGTCTCTTGGAAGGCTTTGATCTGATGTTTATTTAGTGTTTTATATGTTTTATTTTTAATTTTTTTAAAGTTTATTGTTTTTAATTAACGTTAGACTGGGTTTAAGCAATAGCGTTTCATCCTTGTTGCTGCTCATAACGCAGTAAAACGGCCTTACAAATCAAGTAATAGAGAGGGTAAGTTTTTCAATAGATAGATAGGTACCCTGTTTATCTAAGAAATAGGATTAAAAGGGGGTGTGATCCTTAAAAACGACTTAAGCTACTTTAATCAAGAAAAAAACATCTAAGATATCTCGTGAGAACCGCAGTCCTATATTCAAAATATTATCCGAGAAAATTCCTTGTGAAGATAAATTATGCAGGAACTTGTGACGTCACAACAGCCGAAATCGCAGTCTTCTGTTCGTTCAGTCGTCAGTGAACCGTACCCTATACTATGAGTGGTTGCAATTCGCTCTTACAACCTAGTTGTAACTTTAAACCGAACTAACTCGAAAACGGACCATCGTAGCAACATGCGGTTTAAATATTTATTCTTAGATTTTTTTGCACTATAACTTCCATTTTTGGGTCACACCCCCTTTAATCAATTTTTTAAATAAATGCCTATTAAAATATTAAGCAGTTTATCTCTTTACTACTTCACTCCTTTTTTTTTTCTACGAGTTCAATAATTTAGTGCCATGCAATGCACAATGTATCAAAACATTATAAAGAACTGTAACTTTTATTAATTTTTACAAAATGACCGTATCATCACCCAAATTCGAAAAATGATTGCGCTACTATTTCTTAGAATTTTGAGAAAATGGAATGCCAGTATAAACCTTTTTTTTGTTTTTATGCTGTATTCGAAGTATTTTGGTTTATTAGAATAGGTACACATATATTTTTCGCAATAATGCTCTAATTCTTCTCTGCTTTGTTATCTTGACAGACGGTCTTTGACCTTTACAATTATTACACTGGACTCCAAACAAGCATAAATCTGATCGGATCGCCCGAAAAATGTGAAAATTCCCTCAACAATAGCATTTAATGCACGATTTGAATGATCAGAAATAAGAATTCTGTTGCCGTTGCGCTGATCACGGTTTCGTTTCCATTTTGTGTGCTTGTAGAATGGATGGATGGCAATAGCACTGACGACTTGGCAAGAGACTCTTGAGAAGACTCGTCCTATTTTCAAATGGTTATTCGGGATAAGCCTTTTGCCACTTTTTATGTCTTCAATCCTCCATGTCTCCTGATAGTTTTCAAACTGTGTCTCTCAGTAAACATAAAAATCAGTGATACTTCATCCTCACGCATTTTACCGAATCTATTTATACCAACTGGCTGTTTAGCACAGAATTGTTTTTTATACATCATTTACATACCAGCAAATATTTGCTGGTCAATGAGCAGTTTATCTTCATAAAAAATTCAAATAAAATGTGCCTCAGCAACAGTTAAAGTTCGTGAAACTTTATCGGTGTTATTGCAATTATAGTAAAAATTAGAGTCTGTTTAGGTTGATATAGCCTTATTTCATTCACTTAAAAAAGCGATAAGTTTGTAATTTTTGCTTTGACTTGACCAGTATCGTGGAAGTGAAACCAAATAGACGAGGACTTCCGTCCGTTAGACTATCTTCGAAATATGCCAGAAATACATTTTTGCTATATTTTCCAGACAGAAAAGAACTTATTTCGAGTCAGTTTTTGGATATGAAACATCGCTTGCTATGATACTAACACTATAAGAAATAAGGTAGGTACCTAAAGTCTTCGATGATCGTATATCAATAAATAAAATGATGAATATTATTTGAGCACGGTTTAATAGTGTGAAAATATTTTAGGGTACATGTTTAGGACTGTTTTTATTTTATTTCGGAACTTAATTTCGATTTTCCTAATCACAAAATAAAATAACTCTCTTACCACTAAATCGTAAATATGTAATTATTTTCTGTCCCTCAGAAACCCGGCGGGCCGAAAGGTATCAAATTGCGACCGCAAACAGGTGCTTTGCGGCCCGGTCGTACATAAATATATTTTTATGCTACAAAATCTGTGCTGTAAACTTAATTAAAATATATTTTGATATAAATAAGAAAATTTGATCTCGATTTTGGCTTATGTATTTTATTCGTTTTATCTAGTTTCCTGATTAACATTGAACTGGCCAATATTTTCGATATTTTCATCACAAAACATACAATCAATTATATAAAGTCGAATTTTTGAATATTATACATTAGACTAGGTATAGTGCTCAACTTTTTCTAAACTATTATCCGTTTTATGAAATACATAAATATTTCTCATAGGAAATTTCAGAAAATTTTCGATTGCATAATAGTAGTTGTAATCTCTATATATTTTATGTAGAAAATTATAAAATATTTGAATTTTAAATGTTTTGTGGTAGTTGGGTTGATTTCTTTACAAGCAATATTTTTGTTGTACTTTTTATTGTGCAAATTTTGTCGAAATATATTCTATAAGTTGTTGTAAACAAAATGATGTTTTTTTTTAATAATTTTCTAGTACCTACCCCAGTAGCACAACAATATTGGTAAAATATTATATTTACATATTGGCCCAAGAATGGAAACGCCCAATATATATTGTAAATATGAATCCGATATTGAAGAAAGATATTGTCCCAATATTGCTTATTAATAAACATGTAATATTGCTTTTAGAAATATACCCAATATTTGTTTTTCAGATTGGCACAATTTATACTTTTCATATGAATCCGATAGTAAATATAAATATTTCTCCAATATTACCAATTAATAAATATGAAATATTTCTTCTAGAAATATTTACAATATTTCCTAGAAATGTTTACAATATTTTTTTGGAAAAACACATGTATTTAACCAAAGCTCCAACACCTGCACACTAGACCGGTTTCCGGCTTCGAACTTGTGAGCGAAGCACACCAACTTAAAGAAACAGGTTTGAAGGAAACTCAAACACTAGGAAAGAGCAAGGCCATCAGTAGCGTGTGGTGCCCTCTCTCGGTAGTCCTGATTGATATGGAAAAGGTACATCTCCTATATATCACCGATATTGGATAAATATTAAATATAAATATGAATAAAAGATATTGCCAAACATGGATTGGATCCAATATTGGATCAATCTTGGATTCACATATTATATAATAATAATGTAGGAAAAAAATTAATCTCCAATATATTACCAATATTGGCTACAAATTGCTAATATTGGACCCATATACAATATTTTACCAATATAGAATCAATATTTGGCCAATATGGATAAATATATCACTGTTATATTAGAAAAATTTGTTTTGCCATATTATATCCAATATTGGCTTGATAATGCAAATAAAAACATTATCTGTGCATATTGGTCCATTAATGGATACAATACTATGGTAATATTAGAAAAAGTTGTATTGCCAATAATCCACCAATTTTGTCTAAATAATGTCAATGAAGATATTTTTTCTGTATATTAGCCCAATCTCAAGTAAATATGATATTACAATGTGGAAAAATATGTATTGCCAATATTGGCTCAATAATGCAAAAAAAAACAATGTTTTTTGTGCATATCGGTTCAATGATGGATAAATATACTACTCAAAACGAAATAAGGACCACTTTTAAGAGCAGGGTTTTCATTAAATTTTGAATAACCCTGGTAAAGTGACTATTTCCATTTACAATAAGTATAGATAAACAAATAAAGTGTGCACAAAAAATTTATATTGTGAATGGAAATAAACACATTACCAGGGTTATTCAAAATTCATTAAAAATAGATGGGTTTTCAAAGGTGGTCCTTATTTCGTTTTGACGAGTTTATATCACTTATATAAGAAAAATATGTATTGCCAATATGTAACCAATCTTGGCTATATGCTGCCGATAAAAATATTGTTTGTGCATATTCGCCCATTCTTGAATAAATATATTATTATAATGATGAAAGAAGTTGTATTGCCAATAAATGTCCAATGTTGGCTAAAAAATTCCAATATTGGGCCAACATACAATATTGGTCCAATGTATCCGCAACATGGGACCAACATTGTGTGCTACTGGGGTACCTACCTGTATCCACCCTTCTAAAACATTCGGCATTTTTGAATATCTAGTAATAATACAGAATAACCAATTATAGTTAACCAAAGCCGTTGTAAACCTCGTCTTGCTGAAGCCGCCACCATTCCTCCACTTGCGATTTGATCAATTGAATAAATAGGTACAGACTATAAAAAAAAAAAAAACTTTTATTTTCAAGTAACCATTTGATTTAATTTAAGAAACAAACGTTGCAAAAGAATTCTTGCAGTCAGTCAGTTATAGTCTTGAAATCAGTAGAAATAATTGGCCTTCAAAATTGTGTCGACAAATAATAATTCCCACGTGCGTGATAGACCAGGAAATTATAAAACAAAAAACTAAAGGTAACAGATTCGCAATTAATGGCTGTTGGAATCCATTATCCTATCAACCACGGTCTTCACAACTAACAACTTGAAACTTAAAATTGATGAAAGACTTGACCGACAAGGTAGAAATGAAACAGGTCTCGGGAGCTCAGTTGGTAGAGCGCTGCACAACAGAAAGTAAAAATATATCTCTGTCATTTCCACATTGAGCCTGGTCTCCCTTTTAAAAAATGGCAGCTATGTTCGGCAGGTATGGTATCAGAAGTCCATATTTTACTTACTGTAGGTTTAGGCACTTAGTGTGGAGCCTCTTTGTTTATAGAATTCAACAGAAACGCCCTTAGTACCAGCTGACTGATTGTTCTTTAGTTGTTTGATTGCCTTTTCAAGCACCTCTAAACTAAGAACCTCGCTCAGTTCTTGTTGTATAATTTGTAAGATAATTTAATTCCATCATCTCAACATGGTTTTCTTCCAAAACGCTCAACAACAACCAACTTGCTTGAATGTTTAAGTTTAGGACAGAAAACCATGACAAAGCTCAAATCGCAGACGTGATTTTCCTGGACTATGAGAAAGCCTTTGATAAAGTGCCACATAAGCTATTATGTGGAAAATTGGAGCACCTCTGGAGTGCGTTGACAATTGCTGACATTGATTAGAGAGTCGTTCGATGAGCGATACTAACAGTACAAGTAAATGGAGAAATGTCAAGCAGACACTTAGTTTAAAGTGAAGTTGTCCAGGAATCGGTGTTATGTCCACTGCTCTTCACTGCCCATCTATCTGATCTTGTTGATCTGATTGAAACCAGACTTAAAAAGGGTTGAAAACTGGTCAGGGATGTGGGGAATGAAACTGAATGAGAAAAAATGTACAGTGCTTAGAATTGGCTTGAACAATCCAAATGCAATTGACAATATTAAAAGAAAGAAGACATAGAGGGGATTTAATAGAAACATACAAGATAACAAGGGGGTCTATAATTGCGATATTGGGCAGATCTTTCACCATAATCAAAACCAACAGCTCCGAGGACATTCAAAGAAACTCGCCACGGAAAAAGCGGCAAAATACCAATGATTTTTTAAAAAATTATTCAGGTAGTTTGCACGTGGAATGCCTCATTAGAACACACAGTGACCGCCCCTAATAAAAACACGTTTAAAAACCGATTAGACAGAAAACTTAAAAGTAGTATACAATCAGGATGATTCAGTATAGTGTTTAGTAGTGAATAGCAACTTCATAGACTAAACAATAGCTTCATCGGTTCTACCGCCTGCTATTGGAAAATAACAGGATTACAGGATTGAAATTATTGCCGATCGAAGTATCTTTTTCGTCGCCTGTTCCACCTAACTGAAGTTCAACCTTATCAAGGAACAACTCCATTGTACATAAAACATGTAGTTTTATAATGATAAAACTACATGTGATCTTAGAATTTCGGAATTTATATTATTTACGTGTAATATGAAAGGAAGGGTCAATTCCTGCTTCCTCCAAACTTCTTTGTCTAGAAGTTGGTTGAATTTTGAATTTAATTGTCAGTATTCTCTAGTGCTGATAGTTTTCAATGTACGGTACTACCATTGCCCCGCACAATAGACCCGTAGGCTTTTTTTTCATTTTTGCAGGGGTGTCGAGCAATATCCTTGCAGATGGGAGTTCCTGATGGTCCCCCCAATCACTCCACAAAATTCCAGCCGGAGATATTATCGTAGTACCTCGGCGGCCGCCAGCCCTTAGTCTATTACCTAATGTAATGTAATGTGTGTGTGTTGGAGGTGACAGTTGTTCCTGCGATCTCGGTTGATCTATACATACATATACATACAAAAGAAACATCAAGACTGGTTTGATGAGAACGACACTGAAATTCAAGCCCTTATAGAAGGAAAAACCAGAGCGCATAATGCATGGAGAATCGACCCCAATTCGACTGTGAAAAAAGGAAATACCAACAAGCAAAAGCAGAAGTTCAAAGGCGAACGCGAGCAATGAAAAACCAATGGTGGATAACAAAATCAAACAAATAAGGCCACTAGCTGAATCCAACAGCACCAGGACCTTCTTTCAGGTTACTCTGAGATGGTATACGCTGGACCAACCACCCAAGGGCTCAATTACGATCCAAAGATGGCACAAGACTGCTTAAAGACAGGTCTTCCAATAATTCTCGCTATAAGGAACACTTTCAGGAACTACTTAACAGAGAATCACAAATTGATAATGACATCTTCAACGAAATTCCACAGAAACCAACAGTACAAGAACTGAGTGAGGTTCCCAGATTAGAGATAGTTGAAAATGTAATCAGACAACCAAGAACCATAAGTCAGCTGGTACTGATGGGATTCCTGCTGAATTCTCTAAACGAGGAGGCGCCACACTAAGTGACCAAACTAACCCAAACTAACCCACACCCTAATAAGTAGAATATGGATTACTGAAGACCATACCTGCCGAACTTAGAGATGCCTCCATAGTAACCATTTTCAAAAAAGAAGACAAGGATTGATGCGGAAACTACAGGGGAATATCTTTACTTTCTGTTGCGAAATTATCAAATTGTTCAATCCCAACTGCCGAAGAGAACCTCCCAGAGACACAGTGTGGCTTTAGACCCAACTGAGGTACAGCTGAAATGATTTTCAGTACAAGAGAAATCTAGGGAACAAAATCGCAATCTGAGGTTAATAGATTTAGTGGAAGCATTTGATTCGGCCAACAGAGAAGCTATTGTCAAATGTGGAGTGTCCGCAAAAGTACATCCCGATACTCCGCCTGCTGCATGATAATATGAATGCAACCGTCCTAAGCAACGATGGACAAGGAGAGTCTTTTAAAATAACTACAGGTGTTACAACTATTGCAACAACTTTATTTTCTCTATTTATAGTATCCGTACTTCATCTTGTCGAAGCTCACCTGCCGTCAGGAGTGGAAATCCTGTACAGACTTGATGGCGGCTCATTCAACCTAAACAGATTACGAGCCAAGACGAGAGTATCGACGACATCGATAACTGAACTTCAATATGCGGATGATAACGCCGTGATGGCCAATACAGAAATAGATCTTCAGGCAATTATCAATGGATTCAACCAGGCATACAGGAGAATCGGCCTAGATGTCAACTTTAACAAGACGCAGATTCTGCACC